GGCGGGGGAGGCGGGGGGGAATGGGGGATGGAGACGCCCCCTCTTCCTCCTCCCGCGACGCCCCGCCACGCACCTGGGCGCAGCGGGGGCAGAGAGGGGGGCGCCCCGCGCAGAACCTGCTCGGCGCACGGCAGGGTCCGCCGCCAGGCAGCAGCACCGGACGCGTCGCGGGCAAGCCGCGTGCCCGCGGGTAGGCAACCCATTCGACACACACAAGACGCAAGGGGCACTCGTTGGTCCTCCGTGTACTCAGATGATAACGATTTGGTGGTGAGGGGGGGGGGTGCACATTGACCCCCTATGGATTATTAGAATTGACTCTAATAGGGCCTTACTAGATTTGATACGGGTTAATAACGGATAATTAACTAGACCTAATCAGAGTGTTCCCATGAGGGACCATCAAGGAATGAGCCCAAATTTACCTAGAAATAACAAAGCGTCAAAAATGACTTGACTCTCCCGTATCTTTTGGGTTCTGCTGACGCCTCGCTGGAGCGGGATGCGCGGCCCTGGGCTGGGTTCTGCAAACGCTGACGGCATGCTGACGGCGCTGACGGGAGATGCAACTCTTGCTGGCCGCGTAACTACAAGGCCGCATGGTGGCAGCGCACTAGCGCATTCCTGGCGCTGATGAGATCTTCCAGGGAGGGTGTGACCACCGAGGCTCGCACCGAGGCTCGCACCGAGGTGCGGCCAACGAGGACACCGGGCTGCCAGGGAGCGACTGCTGCTTCCTGTAGGTGTATGCACCAAGCGAAACCAAAGCGAAAAATAGTTGTTTGATATCGGGGGTAGGGTGGGCCATCACTGGACTGAACCCGGACTCCGGACCTCCGGACTTCCCAACCAAGCGACCAAAGTTCAGTGATGGCTCACCCTAATGTCCAGGTGACATCGAAATGATACAAAATGCAACAGTGTATTTCGGCTAACGGAAGAAGAAGAGCGCGTAGAACATGAACGTTTCCGATTGGTTGAGAGATTTCCGCGTCTACGTCACTGGTAGAGGGGGTAGAGGCTCGACCAATCAATCTTTATGTTCTACCCGCTCTTCTTCTGCCTCCGTTAGCCGAAATACATGACAAATGTCCAGATTTCAGGACCATTTTTAGGATCGATTCGACGCGACAATCGGCATTACTGATATCCATATCGGTCTGATATCGTTTTGGTATCGCAGTTCTCACTGGGCATGCTAAGATTTATTTCGAGTGGCATGTAGAAAAAGGATATTCTCAACCCCGAACGCAACGAGAGCATCCCCCCCGCTCCCTGCGACAAATCTGAACTCGACAAAAAGGCCTTGGAAAAAAAAAAGAACGATTGGCGACTCCAGCAGTCGAGTGCGAGTCGAGTGCGAGGCCTTCCCTCCCTCCATTCATTTCCGTCCGTCCCTCCATTCATTTGTATTTCTGTCCCAGCTGCAGGAGCTGCACTACACCAAGGCCATCTCTCGAGCCGTTGGTGCGGGCGCCGCCACACTGGTTCGCGTTTAGCACTGGCACACATTTCCTCGAAGACAAGACAGGGAAAGGCAAACTTGCTCGCGACAGAAGATAGCATGTAGCCAACACTTTTCAACCACAGAAATTGCCATCTCCGTCCACTCTTCGTTTTCGAACTTCCCGCCGAATGCGCTGATTGGTGGGCCGGTGGGCCAGGCCGACCTCTGCCGCCAATGGGTACACAGTTGTTGCAGGTTGTTGCCTAGCAACGATACCGCCCCTTTCGAGGCGCGCAGCGCGCATGCCGCATGCCATACCCGGACTCTACCTGGCACTGGCCTTCCGCACAGCCAAACAAAAATACAGGGGAAGATGTCAACGGCCCAGCACTCCGTTGTACTTTGAATCGCTGCAATCGTACAACGCGTAGTCGACAGAGACATGGACAATCTAGACGATGTCCTGGTTAATGTGCTTGAGAAGCGCCTGGGGCGAGCTGTCTGGGAAAAAATAACAAGTTTGAATCACTTGGATCCTAGAATGCTGGATGCTTTATGTGATGAGTTGGTGCAGGAAGTGAGTCTCTCCAAAGAGATGTCAGAGTTAAAGAATAGCTTTCTTCATCAGGATGGTGAAGTATTCAGTTTGGAGAAAGCATCTAACAAACCTCACGACACAGCTCTATGTGAAGACGATTTCAAGTGGAGGAATAATGATAGTGCATGTTCCAGTGCAAATGTGAGCCCAAGGAATGAACGCTCTGCTAATGTTTATAAGCGTGGAAGAACTGGCAATCATAGTTCTGGTCAGCGCATGCATGCCTTGGAAGTGCTTCTTAGGGTTCCAGTGAGTGAGATTGTGGGTTCTGCAAACTGGCCCCAACTTCAACAAGAACTCTGTGAAAGCTTGAGAGATGACAACTGGCTAGTGTTCATGCAGGTTCTAAAAGTTCTCGCAAGAATTTCATCCTCTGCGTCCTTTGGTCCAGTTAGTGAGGGGTTCCTCAGTCTTCTAGAGGGTCTAACGCTGTACTATCTAACCAGACACCTGCACCAAGAGTTACCGAGTGCTCTACATGGGCTTGAGTTTGATAATGCTGTGCACATACGAATCATATTAATTTCTCAGTGTCTTCTTCAGATTTTAAACGAAGTTCCTGGAAAGTGGATTCGGTATGGTGAGAAACGCTCCCAAGAAATTGTTGATAATTTTATAGATCTGTTATCCATGCATACACATCACCATAGATCACTCACAACTGATCAGAGCAAAGATGTCTTATATCCATTTCATATATTTTCTGTCTTGGACCCAGAGGCAAAGTGGTGTGCAAGCGTCATGCATGCAGCATTTGGCAGAAATATCCTTATGAAATGCATATTAAAGTCAGCAAGCCTCATACGATTCATACTGGAAGAAATATTAATTTGGTTGAAGAGTCAAATTAAGTTATCAGAGGGTGTAACTGCTGTTTATGAGTACGGAAAAAATGGGAATATGAATGTTAATATGATCAACTTGACAGTATTTCTTCACTGCATCTCTCTTTTAGAGTTATTTGTGAATAGTGACAAGGGCTACCTGTTGTTTCCTGTCTTAACGAGTATTCATGAAGAAGCTGTTTCAGTGTACTCAGTGCTTCTAAAACTATTAGAATTCCTCAATAAGATTGCTTGTGAGCCTAGAACAAGGCATAGTCAAAAGTTAGTGCGAATGTTGGAAAAAATTTGTGCTTCCCTCATTGTTAGTCGATGTTCTCGCATTCTTCATGGTAGTAGTGCAGAACTACTTCATTTACTTTTAGAGGCATCAAATAGAGTTGATAATTCAGCACTTCATATTCACAACATCAATATTTTAAACAAAATTTCAGAATGTCCTGCAGCAGTGAAATGGATGTTGGGACGACCCATAAGAAGGTCTCGGGAGGGAATCTCTCGATTGTCATTATCTTCAGCAAGTAGTTCTAGTGGTAGAGAGAGCATTCTCACCAATCGTACTGCTTGTATTGCTAGAAGAATTGCTAAGGCAACCACAGTTGCTGTGCGAGATAGAAACAGATTCACCTCTGAGAATATTTCCCCAGTATGTCAACTTCTGGCTATTAGTGAAAAACTTTTTAGTAGTCCTGAAGGATATCTTGTGCTAGAATCCTGTGAAGGGCAGCTGATTCCTTTGGCTGGGCAACTTTTGATTCATATAAAAAATATTATGTACAGCTCTGATGTAGGATTATTATCAATTCAAAGGCAAGTTTTAATATTTTTAAAATTAAACATTTGTTTTTAATACTTATTTTTTAAATTATTCCTTAATCCTTAGGAGCCTTGAAGCATTTTTAATAGGAATGACAACTACTCCTCTGGGATTCATGGCTGTTTCTGGAGTGGAAGGTCTTCTGAAATGTATAGTTGACTCGTATGCAGAAAGTCCAATTCTTGAAAAACGCACTAATCCACAATTTCATCACTTATTACAACTATCAACACTGGTGCCAAACATTAAAATAAATGTACAAAGGAAAAGCTTGATGAAGTATGCCTTGAATCAGCTGTGGTCATCCCTTGATGCCAAATCAGAATGGATGTGGAAAGAGGAGAAAAAACATTTTCTAACAAATGTAATGAGCATTTGTTCATCCCCTTTGGGTAAGTTTATCTCTATCTATTTGTTACCGTTCTATTTCGAAATTTGGACAGTATACAAGTTTTGATAATGGTCTTGTAAAATTTTATTTCTAGTTGTTTTAGAGCTGTTGGAGGACTCAACTGAAGATGATGATCTGAGTGAAAGCAGTACGCTTGTTGAAGAACTGGAGCCTTTGTCATTGAAAGAACTCCTTCAGAGAGGGTTGCAGCCTTCTAGAGATCCTAGTAATTGTCATGTGAATGAAGTAGCTCTTGACATTTTACACCCTCTTGCACATAGTGCTGAAATTGCTATTGTGCTTGAAGAAAAATTAAAGCTTACAGTAAGTATGAGCTGGGTTTAGTTCCCATCTAGAGGTAAGATACTTAAATCTTTAAAACTGTGGTCACAATTCAAAAGTTTCTTTCAGGAATCTATTGAACGTATACTGTCTGAAGCTAAAGTAAAGGAATTTGCCAATGATTTGAATAAGGAGCCATCACCACGTAAAACACATTACATTACTGATGAAAATGCACGTTCATGTAGTCATTTAATAACAATTGTAAATCAGGTAGCCCATCAAACCAAACATATTTTGTGATATGACATCAACTTCTTTTTCTTTTCTTTTTTCATTTATAGAACAAATGTCTTTTTCAGCTCAGAGATTTTTCCTCATGCAATCTGCTAACATTTCCTCAAAGTCCCAGAAGCCCTAGAACCCATGCTTACACAAGTCGCCCTCGAGTTCAAACTGATTTACAGAGATTTTTGCAAGACACTCGGCATGGCCTACATGATAATATGTGGTTGTCACATGCAAGACGTGCTTACCGAGCCTCATCTCGTTCAGAATTAAAGGTGTGTAATAAAGTTCATGCTGGCGGTTCAAAACATTAACCCTCAAAATAATAACATTAATCCTTTTTTCCCTAAAACTAAAGGTGCCAGTACTACTTGACCTTTTGGACCAGGTACTCCTAACACAGCCATGTTCTGCATCTTCAGAATCTCAATCCCGATGGCCAACAAATGCTGCACCACCCTCACTCTCTCCACAGATGTTACAAGCTATTGAAATGATAATTAGGTTGGATAAGAGATTACAATAAATCTCATGAAAAGTAGAAGAATTTGCCATAATCAAGCTTATATATTTGCATTTTCTAGGTATGGTTGCCACATGAAGGTTCTTGGTGCCAATATGGTAAACCAGCACACTGACCAACTTGCTCAACTTCTCTATCAAGCTAAACTATTTTTAGGCCTTCAAAATTCAATTGACTATTTTGATTGGTTTGTCTCTTCTGTATTCCTCATGTGTTCTGGTAACATAGATAAGTAAGTTTCTAGTAAGTCATAAAAAATCCTGTGTAATTTTGAGACACATGAAATCAAATGTCTGTCTTCCTACAGGAGTCGAAGTATTTTGCATAGAGTAGCAATACTACCAACTGGTTCTTTCGTTTGGCCTATGGTGTCTCCAAATGCCACACAACCAACAGCAGCCATCAGTCATCACTTACAGAGCTTGCTGGCAGAATATGTTCCCAAGGCGTACAACTTTCTTCTTGTAAGTCACAAGCGATGTTCTAGCTGGTCAAGGTGGATGGTGGGTGATTCTCAAATCTTAAAAATACAAGAAACAATTCAACTAATATCTACCTACACCTCCAGGAGATGGGTATTCCATGGTGGCTAATTGTACGAAGGCTAACCCATCAGGCTTCCATACCAGCGATGCCTTTATCTCAGCTTCCGCACATGATAGCGCTCTCTGCCTTACACTCATGGGAGTATTACAACTACATGCACACAGCAATTCTTGCCCATATTCAGCCAGCACTCCTAGATTCTTCTCCACAGTCCTCTGCTCTATCTCTTCTAACAGTGAGTGTTTCCATTTCACATGAGCGTAGATTTTCTTAGGCCTTGGTCTTTTCATTTTTACTTTCTCCACAGGATATTAGGTTGGATACTTTTAGTGTTGGAGATTATTTGCCATTCATGGACAAGATAGCAAAACTAAACCGTCCACAACTTGTGAGAGATCGTATTGCCACAGCAACACTATGAAGAAAAAAAAAAGAAAGTAGGGTACCATTTACATGATATGATACTTGTTCACTCCTCGCATATGAGTCCAATCCAAAGTGATAATGTTATTGTAAAAACTTTGTCGCATTTATAAGGGTTTTTAAAACACATTTTATAAAATAAATATAACTGGATAAAAGAAAAACAACTGCTTTAAACTTCATTCTAAATATTTACATCAAACAACTTCAAATGTGAATATCAAGATTAACATATTGTTTACAGGATGAGGATGATTGATGATTCTATTCCCATTTTAATGGGACAAAGGCCATGCTAACAATGCTAACATGCAAACAATGACAACAAATTATGTAAACAAATGGAATTGAGAATATCAGTAAATGCACTCCTCTTATCTCAAGTGTATATCTATCACATGGAATATAGTTAACACTTAGCTTTATGAAAATGTCACTGATTTATATAGGAGAGTCAAGAAGAGAAATCTGCTTTGAAAGAGTTGCCCATTACTCATCAAAAATGTGAAATAATTTTGCTACTTCATTTAAGTCGTCATATTTCCTATCATCCTTTAGGACCTGAAATTAAAAAAAAAATTTATGGTAAATGGTCATACAAGATAACCTAACACACACTTAATAGTAATAAATTCATCATATACCTGTCTTGCAACAGTCATTCGACGGAAAACATTCCATAGGACAATCCCAACCACTAGTTCGTCCCTCAGATAGAATATAATACCTTTCCCATAATCGTCTGTTCCTGTATTTTCAGCTGAAGTTTTCTGGGTATTTACTGGACTTGGAGAACTGCTTGTGGTTGATACATTCTGCTTCAAAAACCGTAAGTTACAGAAAGTTATGTTAAAGACACAAAATTTATTAACAGACACTTACTGCTTCTAAGTTGGACCGAATATTATCATTTGACTCTGCCACAATGGCTTTAGGACTGTCTTTTTCTGAAGCCTTTGCAAAAACAGCTACTGTTGGTAGAGAAGAATCAACAATTCCAATGGCTTCAAATCCAATATCAGGACCCAAATCAGACCAGAACATAGATTGATGTAGGTAAGGTTTGCCTAAAGGAATGGGTGCAAAAAATAATTAACAAGCTCTGTATTAAGAAAAAAATACTATTGGTAACAGTTTAAAAAAAAAAATGATATTTACCTGCTCCAACCATATTTTCTCCAGCAAGTCTTCCAGATATGACAGCATGGTCGTGATGCTCCACACGACGACGACCAAATTTGATATCATAGAAACAAGAACAATCACCAGCCTAAAATTATACAGGAAAACAATATAGGTTGTGATACAAATACATCACTTCAGGATAAGTATCACAAAATCTGACATACAGCATAAAGATGAGACCGCGCTTCCAATTCAGCATTCACCAGGAAACCTCCGCAATCTGGATCAACCTCCAGTCCTGACTTTTCTGCCAAGTAAGTGTTTGGCTCCACACCCACAGCAACAATAACTTTATTCACAGAAACCTTTTCAAACAAAGAAATTCAACCTGTGAGTTGAAAAGTCTAGAAGCTTCATTCATTAGATTTTTAAAAATCTAAATGATGCAAGTAAAGTCTAGGTGTCAGTGTCAGGTAATCCTCACTTACCCTAGGGATTACCTGACCTGACACCCCTGCCTCTATTGTAACATATACATCAGAAACCAGCTTTTGTACATTGATATTACCTTCTTTCCATCATTCAACATCAAGCTGACTTCATTGCCTTCTAGTTTCACATCCTGCACTTCACTACCAGCAATTATATGAACTCCTTCTTTTGCAACTTTGTTTGTGGTCCATAAACTTAAATACTCTGGGAGGACTTTGTGCATATTACCGGGTTCTTTAAAAATCTGATACACCTTAAGTTTAGGATTCTCTAGAGAAGCTGTAAAAATTTTAGAAGATGTAAGATTTGCTGATGCCGCTTACTACTGTGTTAAATATGTACTTTCAACTTATAGATACTAGAGATATTACCTCTCCTGCTCAAAGCGCATGCCAACTCACTACCAAGGAAACCACCACCAATTATGGCAATGGAATCAGTTTCTTTCACAATTTCATTGAGCTCAACATAATCAGGTATCCCTCTGAAAGTGGTAATATGCTTTTGAATTGCTTCTGGAGCTTTGGAGAAGATGTTAAGTGATTTTGGTTTAGCGCCTGGTCAGACAGAAAGACAGTTTAATAATCACAAATAAGATAGAGAGAAAAAATTACCAGGCTTACACAACAGAGAATTATATTCAAATTTAAAAACTCAAACCTGTAGCAAGTAAACATTTTTCGTATTTAATTTCATGCCCATCCTCAAGATAAGCAATTCTTTTGAAGGGATCAATTCTCTCTACTCTCCAGCCCCGTGCAACAGCAACTCCACCATTTGGATTTTCATCCAACTCTTTAGGTGAAATATAGAAGTCCTCAGGTTCATAAAAAAGACTGCAGACAAAAATTTAAAATTATTTTTAAAAATAGATAGAAATGTACAAATGGAAATAAATTAAAATTGGAAACAACGCAGCAATGATACTTTTTAAATTTAAGTTGTTCAGAATAAATACCAGAATAGACCATTCCACAGAATGTGGAAGAAGAAAGAAAAGAATCATAAAGTACCAAACCTGGGATTTCAAAACAGTATGTAGATCATTTTAGCGCATCTCTGCAGCACACAAACAAGTCCAGAATAATTATTTTTATCAAGAAAACTAGAAAATGTTAACAATTTGATTTGTTTGTCAACACTGTTTCCGGTGCTTTTAAATTCTTTTCTTTCTTCTTGCACATTCGGTTGAATGGTCTATTGTTTTAACTCACCTTTTTTCTGATCCATTCCATTGCTTAAAAGTTAATTCATCTTTTTTCTCAGAATCCGGATCATACCATACCTCTTTAGAAAGAGGTGGTCGCATATAAGGCAAATAGCCCTCTTCACTTAAAATGAGTACCTGCAAAGTTGATAAATTTGCTTTACAACATTTTATTATGCTCAATATGCATTCAATATCACACTTAAATTTTACCTTTGCTTTGGCATCAAGGGACTTAATGGCTCTAAAAGCAGAGAACCCAGCAGTACCACCTCCAACCAGCAAGTAAGGTACATGAGCAGGAATTTCACTTGATGTAGATGGAATCTTCACGGGAACTGATTTTGCTGCTTGGAAATATGGAGAATGGATATGTATCTTCAAACCACATGTAATCAAAATTTATGGCAAACTAGCTCTTACCTGATTTTCGAGAAGTCTTTACATCTATTTTTTCCTTGTTACTTTCTGGCTGTAACTTCCAAATCTGTAACAGAACAATCAAAATGTAGAGAAATGCCAAAACCATGTGAAGAGGATAGGATGAAATAGAAAGTCGAGTATTTACTGTGTAGCATGTTCCAGCAGTAAGTAGGATTGCAGCTAATAAACGTTTATTGTTTTTTCTGGCTTGTGCTGCAGCACTTTCTTCATGCGCGCAGTCAGGGGGAGGACAGGCACTCACTGGGTTTGGTCGGTTACAGCTTTGAATTTCTGAATTAACTTTCTGAGTTCCTGGATGACATTCTTTGTAAGAAGTGGAGCTTGAACTGCCCCTAATAAAGAGAAATTAAAGGTACAAAAGAAAGAGGAATGTAATCAATAAATGAGCATTTCAAGTTGAGAAGCACTCACCTGTTATCTACGGGTGACTTGTATGTGGCTGCTGAAGGAGTGATCCGAGGTGTTTTATTCGAGGATTCGTCATTGGCACCTCCTGATTTCTTAGAATAACACCTATTGAATTTGCATAAAAAATCTGTTCTGACTGAAACAAATATATTATTTCAATGTTGAATAGCAGTACAGTACAGGAATGTTACTATGAACTTTATCGGTTCAAGCAAATGTGTAGAAAGACCAAAGTCTCTTTATGAAAAAGCAACATGTCATATGCATTAGCCGATAGGTAAGATTCAAAAACTGAGTGAGGATTTAAGTTATGATAAATGATGTAACACTGTGAAACATAACCTGTAAATATAGAGGTTAGAGCTGACATTGGTTTCTAAGAAAGACAACACGAATTTAAAGTAAAAAGTATTGAGTGGTAAGAAAAATAATTCGTTTATGCAATAGAATTGAGAAGTCATGCTCTATTTCTTACTGTTTCAATTAACCTACTAGCAGACCTCAACTTACCTAGATTATGAGACGGAGGGCGCAAATGACAAGTTTGTCTATGGACATTATTTAGGAGAGAAATTAAACTTCTGTGACGGAGCATGATTTTTAGGGGTGTTTTTGAGTGATTTCTATTGCAGAGCTGATGCCGAAATTACGTGGGTTTCCTTGGATTTCCAGAAACAATGTACTGAAGTGCCGCACACAGCTCTCGTTTGTTAACGCCCGGTTCGAACACGGTAACGCTCAAGGAAGTTTCTCATATCGCATGCCAATCAAGATGTGTTTTCGTAACCTCCCTTGTGTCTGGGACTGAGCGGACGGAAACAGACAACGGGAGGAAAGGGAGGGAGGGACATGATTGAGTTTGAGGTTTGAGAACCAAGCAAAACTTGAAATCTTGAAATGGTCTCAAGACTGATAGTCCTGGACTTATCAAACATCCACTGTAATTTTGTTCCTATTTCCATTGATATATATCTCTAGATTCAAGCTTTTATAGCTGATGAGACAGTCTTGATTGTATGGTTAATTAACAAATGAAATGATAATTTCACTGATATCACAATTTATTTAGAAAAAAATCAATAGAGTACCTGTCCCGTGTGTTATAGAAGAACAAAAACTCCGGAAGAGCAGTGAAAATCTTTGCTTACATAGAAAGTTGACATTTCAAGTTATTCCTAGTTATATTCAGTCGGAATATACACTCAAGGTGTTAGCAGCACTTAGTATCCACAAGAAATCTACCGTGCTTCTGGATAAAATAAGGGCACTTTGGGAGTTTTTGTCTTCTCATATGCACGGGACAGGTAGTCTATACATAATTTTGGTTTACATGTAATACACACAGAAGTTGAAATTTAAACAATTAACATTATATATATATATATATATGTATATATTTATATAATATATTCTAAGTTTACACAACTACCGGCAGAGCTACCGATATTATGTTGTTTAAGTTTAAAACTTGGTCCAAAACAAATTTGCACAAAATGGTTCCTATCCTGATTTGACATGGTGTATTGTGAATACAAATTTGGGGGACTTTTAACTACCTCCAACAACTTAAAATGCTAAATCACAGCCAATGGTGCCACTAGATGAAATGAGTCTTGAAACAGGTATGGCACAGTATAGGACACAAGAATACATTTGGAGTTTTAGAAAATTACAATATTGTATCACTTACTCATTTGGACCATCATCATTTGTGAGAAGAAAGGAATTTTTATGTAATGCTCAAAGGAATGTTTTGCATTTTCACATAGTCCACAACTTGTTCAACTTTGTTTTCACAATAAGAACAACTTTAAAGACAACTTTAGTTCATTGTTTTTCAAGTCAGCCCAAAAAAAGAAGAGCAGAAATCAATCTAAAGTCTCTCACTTAAAACACTCTCAACAACACTTCAAAAAGAATAAAAATCTCAAAATATATGTCAAAATGATGTTAAACGTTCACCGCCAAAATATACAGGGGCTGGCCAGATTGAATCTCATTTTGATGGCCGAAATAAGGATATTGATGGGTCTCGGATGATCATGTTCCTCCTGGCTGCTTTCTTGGTTCTTGGAGCGTTCACATAGATGAAAATGAGCTTTAAAAAAAAGTACAACTCCCTTAAAACAGCCACCAGGCAGGCGGTACAAACCATTCTGTACTATATGTAAATATTTTAGATTTCAAACATAGGTGGCACAAAGCACTAATACTGTAATTTTCTTAAATTTATAGTTTGTCTCTTTAACACAAATTACAATTATTCATTTTCATTTAGATTTAGTAACATCAATATTTTAGAAACATTGAAATTGACACATACTTAGGTGCATAAAATAGACACCCTTTTTAAATAGTTTTTGGGAGACAGCTCAATCCTATTTCTAAGACAACACATCACAACACATCACAATGATAATTTGAGACAATTACATGCAATATCACAGAAAAGAAACCTAACTAACACGAATAAGTATAATTTAGGTGTTTTGCACATCAATAAAAAAATGATATAACTAGCAGAATCCAGAAAGTAAAGAATAATTTCATAATATGGACAAGAAAAATTCGTTTCAACAAAGATGTAATGTGTGATCATGATCATTGATACATATGGGTGCATCTCTTTTTTTCAGACAAATTTTGTCTAATAGGAATCTAGACTTTGCGTTTGGTCTCACAAAAAGAATCATACACAGAAATGTTATTTTCTTTTGGCAAGTTTAGCTTGCAACCTTTGAAAATCTGCTTTGGGGCCAAAGCCATAAACTCGTTTGCGATCATTCCGGACAAAGGCTCCATTACCCTCACGATAATATCTGCAAGCAGCAATGAAACAAAAAATTTACGAATTGTAAGAAATTTAATAACAGAGGATATAAAAGCAATAAGAAAACAATGCTCAAAATAGTTGTGTCAAATTAAAAAAGGCAAGGAAGAAAATATTTACCTCATGGTTCTACTCATATTAGCATATGTCATGTTTTTATTTCCTTTGTGATCACCCCAAAGTCGAGCTATTTCTTCTGTGTTAACAATTCTGAATAACTTTTCCTCTTTATTTTCCCAGGTGACAACAGAAGGATTGGATTCTTCACGTTCAAGAAGATTGTATATGAATTCCCACAACTGACCAACACATTTATCTAGAGACAATAGTTGTCAGAAGGAAAGAAAAACAACAGTTAACTTTATGATAAGTTAAGAGATTAAATACAAAAACACAAACACTTACCCCTTCGTCTACGGGGTTTAATTGCTGTTGTTCTTGTTCGCTGACCAACCATTGTCGTTGAGGGATCATTTGTGACATTGCTCACAGATTCATTTGTTATTGCCTCATTATCAGAAGAGTCCCAAAATGTTTGTGATTCCGATGCAAGTTTTTCACCTGGATATAAGGAATTTATTGCAGGATGCAGATTGGCTGCGATTGTCATTTGTGAGGATATGTTCTAGTTTGAAATTAGCCAATTGTAGGTCTTTAAAAGCTACTAGCTAGAACATATATTCAACAAATGGCAAGCATAGCTAGACCATGCCCAGCAAATGAATCTTCAAAAAAAATTCAGTCAACTTACAGATGAGATCGTAGATAGCTTGATATCCCTCAATACTGTCCAAATTTTTTCTAAGCTCTTTCCTAGTATAAGTAGACAAAACAATTCCATTTCTTCCTTCAAGTTTTTGAAGTAAGCAGCACACAATATTTGAAGACATTTCAGGATAGTGAGCCTTCAGTTCTCTCAGCAACCACTGTTGCACTTGGAGAGAATTCCAATTGTTAAATTTGCCAGTGGGACCTTAAACAGGATACAGCATACACCCATTAATTACTATTTGTACTTAGCATGGAGAAAGGAAATACCTCAACAGCAAAAAATTGGGTATTGTACACACAGGTTTAATCAGTTTTTAAATTTTATTTACCTGGTAAAGCCTCCATTTTTCGCATGTGTTTGCACTTATAGCATAAGTTGGATGATGCTGTCAGTTCACAGAAGTAACGTGGCGAGGGAAACAGCTTAGTTATAGTACTGTCTCCGCTTTCACTGTTTGAATCTGCACAAGAAGATGTACACAATATAAATAACATGATGGCAAGAACACTACTTCACATTATTAAGATAACCATCCATCATACCAGTTACACGTTGTTTCCGTTTCTTAATTGGTAGTTCATTTTCAGATAATGGAGATGTGTTGACCAACAATCTGTCAACATCTCTGTCAGTTTTAGGAAGATCATCCAAATATTGAAGAACAGATCTCTCAGTTTTTATGCTACGAGGAAGAGGCCGGTCAAATATGTCAGATGCGGCTGGTGAGGTGCTGAACGCATTTCTTTCATGTTTTTCTAAATGAGTCAACTCTCTTCCTGATAACATATCTGGTCCAGGCAGCCTGAGACCTTGGAAATGCAGCTTCTCATTGTTTAGTGTGTTGCTGTAATTATAATTATTAAGCTGCAACAAAAGAAACCCATTTGAAATAATTACAAAGATGGTAACCTTCTAAGCTGTTAAGGAACGACAGCAAGGATGACAATACTATAGTATTGTGTGTATGGCATATATGCCATACATTTTTCAAAAATACTTCAATTAATAGGCCTCTAGTTATTCCCAAACTTGTCACCAAATATAAATGTTATTAAATAGAATCTTTACGGTGAAATACATTTTCAGAAGAATATTGTGGTACTTCATTACCTTCAGTAGCTAACCCTGTTTTGGGTGATATCAAAGAAATATGTTGTAATCTTTCTTTTCGTTTGTTTAACTCACTGAAATAGTGACAAGAAGTAGTGACAAATGTGGAAGTGACCAGTCAAGGAGTAGCTGGTAGTACCACCGAAAGAAGGGCTGGGCTCAACGGACAAGAAAGGTGGGCTTGCCTGCTCCAGACGATCGCGGGGGAATTCAACCCGTGGCTGCCTAGATCCACCCCGGGGACACATTTCTGCCATGTGTCGACTCACGATCAGTTTCGAATGTCACAAGCCCAGCTATTGATCGAATTCGTGTTCGACACGGCATAACCACAGACTCTTGCTGTCGCATCATTAAGCCCTCGTGCGTGATGCTAAATTTCTCATAGAAAAGGAAAATCGCCTAAGGGCAAACGGGCAAACTTACTGCGCATGTACCTCACTCGGGATACAGTCTCACCCGCCCATTCTGGCCTTCTGTTGGCGACACCACTGGCCAAAAAACCACGATTCTCTCTCTCTCTCTCTCCCTCTTTCGGGATACAGTCTGTTACATTCGTGATTCCCAAAGTTTGCTCGAGAAGCAGGCTTCTGTACGGTTAGTGCATGAGAGTAGAAGGGGATGGAGAGGCAACGACGGGCGGGCTAGGGCCTGCACGGCCAAATGTGCGGCTCATTTTCTCCTAAACGATTCCACCTATTTAAAATCCGAAAGCAGCATCTGATAGAGGAAGGTCGATTGTATGGCCGCGTAAAGTTTCAGCTCGATCCGTCACCTCCTTCTGCCTCAACGCCGCGCTGTCCGCCGCGCCGCGGTCATTCGGCAGGGCTC